CGTCGTGTCACTCGCGTTTACCGTGCGTAATCGAAAATCCGTCAGATGAAAGAGGATTGATATCAGATAAACGGTATATCGTATCGATAGCAAGTGAATGGAGTGAATACGCGACAGTTCCGTCAAGTGAACTCCGCGCGACCGCCTCGTCGCGACTCGCGAGCACGGTCGGAGTAATGAGAACTACTTTATCGACGTGACTTTATCAACGTGTGAACGTACGAGAATTCCCATGAAATGAACTCCGTGCGATCGTAGCATTATTTGTAGCTTTGCATTTCTCACAGATTACAGTGTATGAGTTAATTGAAATGGATAGTGATTATAGTAATAAGGAGTAATCGCGATGACGTGTTCTAATTAGCCGCGATTACTGCTGCTTGTAGGTTTTTTTGTGGATCGGAAAGGTGAAATCGATGTGGTGTTAATATCACGATCGTTATATTTACCGAATTACGTGTATCGATTAAATTTTAAAAATATGGGATAGTAATCAGCAGTAATGGCGATCATTTTCTGATTAGACGCGATCACTGTGCGTATTTTTTTTGTAGATTAGTAACGCAAAATCGATGCACAGTTAATATTGCAACTGTTATATTTGTAGAATCGTGTGCATAAATTAATTAAAATACGGGATATTAATTGGTAGCGTGATTGCGATCATTTCCTTACTAGCCGCGATCACTGCTTCTAATTTTTTTGTACATTAAAAGATATCACTATAATTAATGCCGCAACTGTTTTTATTAAATTACATGCAGGAGTTAATTGAAAAGTCTTTTCTGCATTAATTTTTACATATTAGTATTAGATACAATTAACAGTTCATGATATCGCGTAATATTTATAATAATAATTTAATATTACGAATTAATGTTAGATGAGATGTACATTTTTATGTTATTGAAAAAAGTATTATTTTAATTTAAAATAAGCGTTTAGAATCGGTAATGAAAAAAATATCAAGCACGTGTCATTTTATAACAGTAAATGCCATTGATAACATACTTTCGTGCTTTGAGATTCTTATATAAGAGCAATTTATGCGTCTATACTGCATCTAACAGAAAATCCGCTGGTGTCACGATTTCTCTCAAACAGAATAAACGGATTAAAAAATATAGATCGGTTTGCATGTAAGTTAACGGAATAAGTGCGACTGTGTGCGAGTGCGTGAAATCGTCGTGTGTCGATCCGTGATGTAATCGGGACTATATCGATCGAATCCATCTTAATCGCGCGCGGAGATGGAATTCAGTGACGTAATTAGTTGCTCAACGAACTTGCACGAGCTACGCATTTGCAACGGCTTAGGAGTCCTTGAGGATTGGCGCAATCAACAGCTTCTGTAATGATCACTGCGAGGATTCAAGGTAAGAAATTTTTCTTGTTTTTAGGAGATACTTATATATTTACACGCATTATCAATGCAAGATATTTTGAAAGTCAAGAAATATCTATTTTTTTTTTAAACACAACAGATTATTAAAACTAAATTTTTTTTCCATATTACGTAACGTTTGAACTAACATTTTATTCTACACATATCGATATATAGATATAACACAAATTGAAAAGATATTTATATGGCTTTCTATATGAAACTGTAAATATATTAACAAAACGATAAATTCTTCCTGAAATGATTGAATCGACGAATATTGCTCATGTTTGTAATTTAGAACTAAATTGAATATAAGATATGAATTTATAAATCATACTTTTTATAAAATTTAATAAAATATACACTTTTTCTTTATATTCTTGCCGGATATTAAAGTTTATTATCTCTATTTTGATTTGAAGACGTATATAATATAATAAATATTATATTATATAAAATACTTTGATAAAAATGTATACATATATACATTTTATATACTATATATAATGAAAGCGAAGGAAAGAGTTAGAACTCGAGATATTTCTTTTCATCTTTTATTTAAAAAGACAATAATAAAGTGTAAAAATAATATAAAATTTGGAAACAAAACATTTTCGGTGCAAACTATATCGAAGGATAATCGATTGTATGTTCTTGTCACGGATATGTCACGAATTACTACTGACGATACTTAAAAAAGTTTACGTATGTACATACGTAGGAAGTATTCGCCAACAAGCTTGCTGACAACCTAAATATACATATGACGGTCTCATGAATAATCTCTACGTAATTGTAATAAATTATATTAATGTTAACGGTATATCTTCGAGTTATAGACATTGACTTAGATCTGATTTATGCTCGGTGTAATCCAAAGACCAGAAACATAAATTCTACGGAGTAAGCTGACAGAAAATAACAGGCAAGAAATGTATAAATTATTATACATATGTATTTTGTGGCAGAACTTTGGTAAACGTTACTCATTCACGTGTGTTTATTTAGGTCTGACAGTATTGCATATCATACATATTAAATTAATTGTGTCGTGTTAAGTACAGAAATTAAAGATATATATCAAGGCTACTTTATACGCGATAATATTAAAAGTCGTTACTTAAAAATAAAGTTAATAAAAAAAGTCAACACAAGTACAGAAAAGAATCTTAACATAATAAAGTATACGCTTTATTAATTTTTCATTTTTTTGTTAATATATTAATTTCTTGTTTCTTTCAATTCTCGAGAATTTCTGCGAAAATCTCAATAACAATTTTTCAAACATTTAGAAGAACCGATCGTTGACTATTCTTAAAGCGATCGATGTACGATTTAAGGTACAGGTAATTTTTTTCTTGATGACTTATCATGAGATACACGGAGCACAAATCTTCGACAATGAGTCGAGTAACTCGTCGTCTGAAACTCCTTAATCGATGTGCCTCTTACGTCTAACATACACACTCAATATATGTATCAGCTAAAATGTAAATGCAACTTGATCGCGGATACGAATTTCATTTAGGTTTATTTAGGGCAGTGTTAAGTAATTACTTCCCTAAACGGTACAGCCCACATTCGCAGCGCACTTACAATATTTCGGCATTTGTAGTGTCGAACGTAACTACCTAGGTTTTAATCACTTGAGGATTCGCATGCTATTTTGCATTGCATCATTAGAAACAAGGAGGATTTATGCAAATAATTGAGGATCCGAATTTCAAACCATAGTAATCCAGAAAAATCAAAATTAAATTCCTTTCAGAAAAGATGTTAGACAAAGAAAAAATTTATAGTTTTCTATTTCATATCAAATAAGTCTATAAAAACACATCTGAAATCTAAATTACTCTATGTTCATTTATTATAATCTTTTTCAAGAAACGTCATAATTGAAACAATATATATGTATATTGTATCTTGAAAAATATGAGTCTTTCAATATAAGTTATGTTACAAAAATACTAAATATAAAATAATAAAAAATAAAAATGATTAAATCTGAGATTTCTTCTATTTTCCGAAAATTTCTTATTTTGAGACTACTACGATTTTGTATTCAGATCCTTTATTCTTGCGATGATAAGCTATTGATACGGAGTCTAGTTACAAAAATCGATTGCCTGCATTTTCTGACTTTTGAATAATTCAGAAGTAGGCTGCGTAGGCATCGTCCAATACATGATATTTGATGAGAAGAATAAGGGATAAAACTACATAATATACAGCCGCTTTTAGCATTTAAAGTGCGCCATAAACGCGGGCTTAAGCAAATCTTGCACTCGTTGTCCAGGTTCGTGTCGCTCGTTTGATGATCCACAAGGAATTTTGGACGTTTATCGTGATGAAGGGAAACGTTTAACGAACGTTGAATCACGGTAGAGTTTTCTCAAAAAGCCTCGAGCGATCGAAGCTCTCGAAAGCGACTGATAGGAGGGGGAGTACCCGGTGCGAATACGACGAAACACTGACGAGTATCTAGACGATCAGTCTTCTTTTTATGTTTAAGATAGATCGAGAGAAGAGAGAACTGAGACGCGATTGAAGCGGATGGCTAGTGGTTTCATTGGGAAAGTACAATTAATTATACCTTTGGAATCGGAAATAGTTTTTCCTGATTTCGGGAATGCGAAAAATGAGATGTAACGCTGTTCGCGATGGCTCGCACACGCTATGACTTCACGATATGTATATCGATATGAATTATTACTTGAACGTGAGATTTTTCTTTTATATATATATTTATATATATATATTATTATATATGTCGCGCGAAGAAACGCAGCGCGCGCGCATCTGCATTCCTATTTACATAACGGCTCGATTTTCGCGTTGCGATGGTGGATGGTCGAAGGTGCGAGTATTTAGTATTGCATGAGCTCTTCCAAGTACTCCATATAGTCGTTCTCCGACATCTCGATGTCGTCGTCTGGCCGATTGTCGGCGCTCCGCCGTCTCCTCACCAGCTCGCTCGTCACCTCGATGCAGAGCAGCGCGAATTTATTGTCGCACGAGTATCGTACTTGTTCTAACAGTCGACCGCCGGTCAACGGCGAGCCTAATCCGTAGCGATCCGAACTGCTCGAGTGCCAGGCGTCGCAGTAAGTGTCCATTGCACGGTCGCCGAGTTTGTGAGAGCCGTGCCACGCGACTTTCTCGGGCCTGTAATCAGAATAATGTTAATTTCACGATAATAATAAGAAAATAGAATTGAAAAAAATAGAAATAGGAAGATAGGAAATATATCGTTTTGTACATATTTATACACTTCTTCAAATTAATAAGTAATAATATTATTTGCGAATTCGTTTAGTTAATTTGTCATTTTTAAATTAATAATAATCTAATATACAATTTACGTTACAATTTATGTTTGAGAATTATTAGATTTTCTTTTATACAGTAAAATCATATATTTTCTATTATGTATTTTTTCTTTTTATACTTACCATGCGAAGTCAGTAAGGATGTTCTTTCCATTGAAGCTGTAGATTCTGGGATTCTGAGAGAAGTATGCCCCATTTCCGTTGAACATCTCTTTCCAAGAGTTGAATAGCACGTCTCCCTAAATATTCCCGATTATTATTTAGTAAAATATTTAATTTTCAATAAAAAGCGTCATGGTAATAAATAGTAATAAATAAATATTGCTCTCCCAATTACCTTTATATTAACGATAGGAAGATCTCGATCTCCTAATCTGACAATGCTATCGACGTTTTGAACTCGAGAGCTAAGGAAAGCACGGAAGGTACCTCTCAAGCCTGCTCGCCTTGCTTGTCGATAGCAAGCGTAGTCTGCTCCTCGTATACCATGCATATCACCAGTGAACGGCTCGTTCAACGCAGCCATCCGCAACTGAAAAACATGATTCGCATTGAACAAATATTTACATTTATAATAATAGCGAACACATTTATATATTTTTTATTAAAGATATAAATTTACGAAAATTCTCATTAAAAAACTATCTTTTTTTATTATTCGCACAGTAATGTGAAAAAAAGTGAAATATTATATCGTAAACGAACGGATGGAAAGTCTCAAATAGAAATCTCATTAAATACGGCACAATCTCACCATTCGCGGATACCACTGCACAGCATGGAAAAAAAATGCAAATTCGATATTAACACGTTTAATTTTTACAAACGTGCCTTACACAAAAAATAAGTTAAATCAACTTACCCCTGTACCGTCGGCTTTCACGGGTATTTGATTAATTAAGTTGGATGCTTCGAAAGGAGGGTTTGCTGGCGGTGGAGATGTCGTTGGTGGTGCTGGCGTTGTGATAGGTAAAAGTGAGCCGAGCTGAAAAGCAGTATAAGAGAAATTCGGTGTTAACACAATTATAGCATTCTACGAACTTATAATAGTAATACAGTTTGATACTGACTGCAATGTATTGCCATCCATTGTTAACTCTGACTAGTAAAGCTTGTTCGTCTATTATATAAGCCAGCGTCCCGACTGGACTTACACTAGACATCTGTAAACGTAAAACAAGAATATTAAAAGTAGATTTGCGCAAAAAAAGCAATTATTATTAATTGCTAATTTGAGGAATCTTACTTTTGTCATGGCTTCTGTGTTTTGGAACGTAACAGCTCCTGGCACAATTTTCGTTGTACTTTCTAAAGGTCCCCTTGTAGCGGCAGCAACACCTTGAAAAAATTTTTGAAATTATTTAAGAATATAAAGATACCGATGTTAATGTGCAATTAGCGGAAAATATTTTATAATGCATTGAAAGAGCGGCGGTTCTGATGCATATTAATTTTAGTATCATACTGCAGATATTACCTAATTGCTCTTTTAGTTCTTTCAGTTGCTTGAGTTCACGTAGAGCTTTCAATTCGTCCAGACTACTTCTGGCTCCTTGCGGTATGCGAGTGTAAAATTTAATTTAATTATATTATAAATATTTGATAGGTGTTCGATAAAACAGATATTTATCGCAGAGACTTAGAATAATTTAACAAAATATTATTAATGAAATTGTTAATTTGTAATATTATTAAACGTCACATTAATATAATGACATCGGATATGTTACTCATAATTATAAACATAATTTATATTTAATCTAAAAATTTATAATTTATAATTTTAATTTTGTTATCGAAGTACGGTTAATCAAATGCTATCAAGTTATAAATGTTATAATAACTGCCAACATCTTCTCTAATATCTTAATGTCTTTACCTTGTCTGGGGGGATAATAATCTCTCTCTCCGAAAACGTGACTTCTACCGATCCCGGGTTCTCCTTTTTGTCCGATTCGACAAGCCGGGCGGACCAGGGGGCCCGGGAGGGCCTGGAGGTCCCGGAACTTTTACATATGATCCTTGAGGCGCTGATCCAGGAGCTCCTGGAGGTCCTCTCTGACCTTCTCTTCCCGGCTGCCCAGGAATTCCAGGGAAACCGTCGTCTCCTTTGTCGCCTTTGATCTAAAAAACGTATTTAACGCGTGAATAGATCGTCACAGTGTTTTTGCAGATAATGTTTTCCCGCAGAAGTATGTACGTCAATGTAATGAGAAGACTGCGATTATCGATTTCCTTTTTTTCGCTGCATCGCATCGCTTCGGTAGACAGCCAGACAGATTTGTAGGCAGTCAATAAGTAGTAAAGTATTGCCAAGAACAGGAGCGGTTGATTTATCGGAAACATCGAAGAATGAGATGCAGCGATCGCTTAGGCGCATCACGTCGGCTTTCTGTCGACGTTTCTTCGTTGCGTACTT